GTGCAAAATACCAACAGTAATGCCATGTGCCTACCCAGGATAAGTAGTCAGCAGTGTAAAATACCAACACTAATGCCATGTGCCTACCCAGGATAAGTAGTCAGCAGTGTAAAATACCAACACTAATGCCATGTGCCTACCCAGGATAAGTAGTCAGCAGTGTAAAATACCAACACTAATGCCATGTGCCCACTCAGGATAAGTAGTCAGCAGTGTAAAATACCAACACTAATGCCATGTGCCTACCCAGGATAAGTAGTCAGCAGTGTAAAATACCAACACTAATGTCATGTGCCTACCCAGGATAAGTAGTCAGCAGTGTAAAATACCAACACTAATGCCATGTGCCTACCCAGGATAAGTAGTCAGCAGTGTAAAATACCAACACTAATGCCATGTGCCTACCCAGGATAAGTAGTCAGCAGTGTGTAGTCAAAATACCAACACTAATGCCATGTGCCTACCCAGGATAAGTAGTCAGCAGTGTAAAATACCAACACTAATGCCATGTGCCTACCCAGGATAAGTAGTCAGCAGTGTAAAATACCAACACTAATGCCATGTGCCTACCCAGGATAAGTAGTCAGCAGTGTAAAATACCAACACTAACTAATGTCATGTGCCCACCCAGGATAAGTAGTCAGCAGTGTAAAATACCAACACTAATGCCATGTGCCTACCCAGGATAAGTAGTCAGCAGTGTAAAATACCAACACTAATGCCATGTGCCTACCCAGGATAAGTAGTCAGCAGTGTAAAATACCAACACTAATGCCATGTGCCTACCCAGGATAAGTAGTCAGCAGTGTAAAATACCAACACTAATGCCATGTGCCTACCCAGGATAAGTAGTCAGCAGTGTAAAATACCAACACTAATGCCATGTGCCTACCCAGGATAAGTAGTCAGCAGTGTAAAATACCAACACTAATGCCATGTGCCTACCCAGGATAAGTAGTCAGCAGTGTAAAAAAATACCAACACTAATGCCATGTGCCTACCCAGGATAAGTAGTCAGCAGTGTAAAATACCAACACTAATGCCATGTGCCTACCCAGGATAAGTAGTCAGCAGTGTAAAATACCAACACTAATGCCATGTGCCTACCCAGGATAAGTAGTCAGCAGTGTAAAATACCAACACTAATGCCATGTGCCTACCCAGGATAAGTAGTCAGCAGTGTAAAATACCAACACTAATGCCATGTGCCTACCCAGGATAAGTAGTCAGCAGTGTAAAATACCAACACTAATGCCATGTGCCCTACCCAGGATAAGTAGTCAGCAGTGTAAAATACCAACAGTAGTGCCATGTGCCCACCCAGGATAAGTAGTCAGCAGTGTAAAATACCAACACTAATGCCATGTGCCTACCCAGGATAAGTAGTCAGCAGTGTAAAATACCAACACTAATGCCATGTGCCTACCCAGGATAAGTAGTCAGCAGTGTAAAATACCAACACTAATGCCATGTGCCTACCCAGGATAAGTAGTCAGCAGTGTAAAATACCAACACTAATGCCATGTGCCTACCCAGGATAAGTAGTCAGCAGTGTAAAATACCAACACTAATGCCATGTGCCTACCCAGGATAAGTAGTCAGCAGTGTAAAATACCAACACTAATGCCATGTGCCTACCCAGGATAAGTAGTCAGCAGTGTAAAATACCAACAGTAATGCCATGTGCCCACCCAGGATAAGTAGTCAGCAGTGTAAAATACCAACACTAATGCCATGTGCCTACCCAGGATAAGTAGTCAGCAGTGTAAAATACCAACACTAATGCCATGTGCCTACCCAGGATAAGTAGTCAGCAGTGTAAAATACCAACACTAATGCCATGTGCCTACCCAGGATAAGTAGTCAGCAGTGTAAAATACCAACACTAATGCCATGTGCCTACCCAGGATAAGTAGTCAGCAGTGTAAAATACCAACACTAATGCCATGTGCCTACCCAGGATAAGTAGTCAGCAGTGTAAAATACCAACACTAATGCCATGTGCCTACCCAGGATAAGTAGTCAGCAGTGTAAAATACCAACAGTAATGTCATGTGCCTACCCAGGATAAGTAGTCAGCAGTGTAAAATACCAACACTAATGCCATGTGCCTACCCAGGATAAGTAGTCAGCAGTGTAAAATACCAACACTAATGCCATGTGCCCACCCAGGATAAGTAGTCAGCAGTGTAAAATACCAACACTAATGCCATGTGCCTACCCAGGATAAGTAGTCAGCAGTGTAAAATACCAACACTAATGCCATGTGCCTACCCAGGATAAGTAGTCAGCAGTGTAAAATACCAACAGTAATGCCATGTGCCCACCCAGGATAAGTAGTCAGCAGTGTAAAATACCAACACTAATGCCATGTGCCTACCCAGGATAAGTAGTCAGCAGTGTAAAATACCAACACTAATGCCATGTGCCTACCCAGGATAAGTAGTCAGCAGTGTAAAATACCAACACTAATGCCATGTGCCTACCCAGGATAAGTAGTCAGCAGTGTAAAATACCAACACTAATGCCATGTGCCTACCCAGGATAAGTAGTCAGCAGTGTAAAATACCAACACTAATGCCATGTGCCTACCCAGGATAAGTAGTCAGCAGTGTAAAATACCAACACTAATGTCATGTGCCTACCCAGGATAAGTAGTCAGCAGTGTAAAATACCAACAGTAATGCCATGTGCCTACCCAGGATAAGTAGTCAGCAGTGTAAAATACCAACACTAATGTCATGTGCCTACCCAGGATAAGTAGTCAGCAGTGTAAAATACCAACACTAATGCCATGTGCCTACCCAGGATAAGTAGTCAGCAGTGTAAAATACCAACACTAATGTCATGTGCCTACCCAGGATAAGTAGTCAGCAGTGTAAAATACCAACACTAATGCCATGTGCCTACCCAGGATAAGTAGTCAGCAGTGTAAAATACCAACACTAATGCCATGTGCCCACTCAGGATAAGTAGTCAGCAGTGTAAAATACCAACACTAATGCCATGTGCCTACCCAGGATAAGTAGTCAGCAGTGTAAAATACCAACACTAATGCCATGTGCCTACCCAGGATAAGTAGTCAGCAGTGTAAAATACCAACACTAATGTCATGTGCCTACCCAGGATAAGTAGTCAGCAGTGTAAAATACCAACAGTAATGCCATGTGCCTACCCAGGATAAGTAGTCAGCAGTGTACAATACCAACACTAATGTCATGTGCCTACCCAGGATAAGTAGTCAGCAGTGTAAAATACCAACAGTAATGCCATGTGCCTACCCAGGATAAGTAGTCAGCAGTGTAAAATACCAACACTAATGCCATGTGCCTACCCAGGATAAGTAGTCAGCAGTGTACAATACCAACACTAATGCCATGTGCCTACCCCGCAGGATAAGTAGTCAGCAGTGTAAAATACCAACAGTAATGTCATGTGCCTACCCAGGATAAGTAGTCAGCAGTGTAAAATACCAACACTAATGCCATGTGCCTACCCAGGATAAGTAGTCAGCAGTGTAAAATACCAACACTAATGCCATGTGCCTACCCAGGATAAGTAGTCAGCAGTGTAAAATACCAACACTAATGCCATGTGCCTACCCAGGATAAGTAGTCAGCAGTGTAAAATACCAACACTAATGCCATGTGCCCACTCAGGATAAGTAGTCAGCAGTGTAAAATACCAACACTAATGCCATGTGCCCACTCAGGATAAGTAGTCAGCAGTGTAAAATACCAACACTAATGTCATGTGCCTACCCAGGATAAGTAGTCAGCAGTGTAAAATACCAACAGTAATGCCATGTGCCCACCCAGGATAAGTAGTCAGCAGTGTAAAATACCAACACTAATGCCATGTGCCTACCCAGGATAAGTAGTCAGCAGTGTAAAATACCAACACTAATGCCATGTGCCTACCCAGGATAAGTAGTCAGCAGTGTAAAATACCAACACTAATGTCATGTGCCTACCCAGGATAAGTAGTCAGCAGTGTAAAATACCAACACTAATGCCATGTGCCTACCCAGGATAAGTAGTCAGCAGTGTAAAATACCAACACTAATGCCATGTGCCTACCCAGGATAAGAAGTCAGCAGTGTAAAATACCAACACTAATGTCATGTGCCTACCCAGGATAAGTAGTCAGCAGTGTAAAATACCAACAGTAATGCCATGTGCCTACCCAGGATAAGTAGTCAGCAGTGTACAATACCAACACTAATGTCATGTGCCTACCCAGGATAAGTAGTCAGCAGTGTAAAATACCAACAGTAATGTCATGTGCCTACCCAAGATAAGTAGTCAGCAGTGTAAAATACCAACACTAATGTCATGTGCCTACCCAGGATAAGTAGTCAGCAGTGTAAAATACCAACACTAATGCCATGTGCCTACCCAGGATAAGTAGTCAGCAGTGTAAAATACCAACACTAATGCCATGTGCCCACTCAGGATAAGTAGTCAGCAGTGTAAAATACCAATGCTAATGTCATGTGCCTACCCAGGATAAGTAGTCAGCAGAGTAAAATACCAACACTAATGCCATGTGCCTACCCAGGATAAGTAGTCAGCAGTGTAAAATACCAACAGTAATGTCATGTGCCTACCCAGGATAAGTAGTCAGCAGAGTAAAATCCCTTTTTGGGGGAAAGTCCAAAATAGTGAGTGAGTATGGTTTTACGCCGCTTTTAGCAATATTCTAGCAATATTGCGGCATGGGACACCATGTGGGGAATCAAACCCAGGTCTTTGGTGTGATGAGCGAACGTTTTAATCACTAGGCTACCCCACCGCCCCTGTCCAAAATAGATGTGATCCACATGAGTTGCTCTGGGTGAAGAGATCATTCTCTGGAAAATAAGACTCCTGGAGAGTCAATCTGCTAGGACATTCAATTTCAATGGTACTCATTTATCATTAACTGGTGAAAAACTTTTCAAACCCCCCTGATTGTGACTTGGATACACACTGATACTGCAGCAGCCCTGGTCAACTCACATTAGGGTTAGTCATGTCCGTTAACTGTGTCCACTTTTCCAGGAGTTCTGTCAAGAACTCTTTTGGTCGACGCAATACCCATGCTGGATTGGCGATGAAGAGTCGAAGAATCACTCCACCGACAATGAGCTCCCCCTCAACATCTGTATAAACCACTGCAAAGTCCTCTTTCAAGTTCCATTTTGTGTCTGCATCTTCTCTTTGGGCTTTGTAATGCCTGTTGTTTCAGCAAACAAAAGATGTAACATTAATATGCAAAACGTTTTCACTTCTTTTCTAGGTATAAAGATACTCCTGCGTAACATGAATACCTGAAGGGTACCCCTGCGTAACATGAATACATGAAAGGTGTGATTACACAGACATGATACAAGTATGGCCCCAGTTTCATTCATGTAAGTTTCAGTCACAATTTTTTAAAATCTGTGGTTACATTAGTACGTGTCCTATTTTCTTGTGTATGTATTTTAATGTCATATATTCTCTTTATTCAAATTTTAGTGCTGATCAACTGTGCAATACAAATTTCCTACGGATAATAGTCTTTTCTCATCTCTTATCTTACTATCAAAACACAAACTAATTTGCTGGGTACCATACTTTTATGGGCAACACTTTAAAACTTTCAAGTGTGATATCAGTAGTTTGATGTACTGCATCATACAACTACAAGTACTTTGCTTTTACATGAAACACTGACCACTTCTAATTACTGAATTACTGAAGTTCAGAAAACTTAAACAGAAAATGCCATATGCCTTGTAGTACCTATATAAACTGAACAACATTTGAAACGCACCACCCATATAATACAAAATATCCCCATCAGACTGAAATGTACCATGATATCTGAGCATCGTCGGTGCATTATAGTGTGGTGCGTTTCTAATGTTGTTCAGTATATGTGTGACACACACTTCCCTTTGAATGGTATCACATTGGCTTGGAAACATACACAACATATGCAGAGAAATGTTAAAACAGAAATTCCAAATGTAATGAAACTTTAAAAGTAAGCATCCTGGTTGAGTGAGATTATTTCTATGTGGGTGAAAAGGCATGCCCTATGCAGTGTCACTAAAAGACAAATTTACATCCTCTTTTATTATTCATAACATCCAAATTTGATGAAGTGAGTTGAGATTTAACCTGTATGTGTGTCTGTGCATGGCTGTTTGTACTGGTCTACACTATTGCGGGTCTAATCATGCCATCCCACTGAGATATGATGTCACAGTCTAACATAAATTCACAGTCTGTAGACTCCCAATCCCCAAGATAATTAGTGCTTGTTATATTCCCATTATGATAAAACAAATATGAGTGTTGTAATGGCTCTTGCAGTAAAGCAGCTGATGTTTGAACTCACAGTAATCTACTCTCCTGACATAGGCTCTATCAACTAGACCATGGAAGCAGTGTCTAAAGTAATCTACTCTCCTGACATAGGCTCTATCAACTAGACCATGGAGGCAGTGTCTAAAGTAATCTACTCTCCTGACATAGGCTCTATCAATAGGCCATTGGAGCAGTGTCTAAAGTAATCTACTCTCCTGACATAGGCTCTATCAACTAGACCATGGAGGCAGTGTCTAAAGTAATCTACTCTCCTGACATAGGCTCTATCAACTAGACCATGGAGGCAGTGTCTAAAGTCAGAAAATGCATGATAGATATATATCCTTTATTTTCTCCATTATCATAAAAAGCAGTACACAAAATGAACAACATGAAATACAATATAATCAGTCTCTCATAAAGTTCTGATGAACAAGGACATTGCAGATACATGCATACATACTGTATGTACGTGTTACTGGTAAATTGACTATTGGGGACATATATTTACACTACACAGGTGAACGAAATCAGATAGTTTTAAAATTACTTGAATCTAAATCTGAAAGTCTAAATGATCGAGCTCGACATGTGGAGCTTCCACTTGATGTATACAAAATTTCTGCATATTTTTTTCTTGTCCTTGTTTTACAATGCTTTGTCCAAGCAGAAGAAGTCCAGGTATGTTCACATCAGTCATATTTATACTACACAAAAATATGTACTATCCTGTCATATAGGAATAGAGAATCCTGTACATACCCATCCTTGAGTTTGCGCACTGTATCAGACACTTTCTCCCTTGCCTCATCATTCCAAATCAATTCTGGGTTTTCATGAGAACCTACAGGACAAAACAAAACAGGTCATATATTTGAGCATGAATAGATACAAATGCATTTCCAAAATGCTTCTTCTAGCATATGGATATATGCTCATACTGAGAATGAGTGAGTGAGTTTAGTTTTAAGCTGCATTCAGCAATATTCCAGCTATATGGTGGCGGTCTGTACATAATCGAGTCTGGACCAGACAATCCAGTGATCAACAGCATGAGCAATGATCTGCATAATTGGGAACAGATGATGTGTCAACCAAGTCAGCGAGCCTTACCACCCAATCCCGTTAGTCGCCTCTTACGACAAGCATAGTCGTCTTTTGTGGCTGGGTTGCTGTAGACCTATTCTACCACGGATCTTCAAGGGTCTGCTCATACTGAGAATACACACTGCCACTTGTCAAAGGGGTACACAAAGTACGTGATTTGGAAAAAAAGTTGTCAAACTTCCATTTTCATGACAGTAATGATGGGTAAATTGGGTAATAGTTGACTTTGTGTGCTGGTACTAAGGTGCCTCACTAAGAGAGTGTGGGTTCGAATCCCAGATGGGACTCAACCCCAAAAGTACTATTATCTGTACTAATCCCAAGTATAACACTTGATTTATGTGCTCGTACTGATGACTTTCATCTTGAGTTATGTTGAGCACATATGCATCACTACTGATTTATCTCTTGGTAACATTCCATTTGTATGGCACTCTTTCCATGGGGAATGTCAAGCCATAAAACTTAAAAGCACATCAGCAGCCCAAGCTTACTGTTCGGTGACTGTTAACAGTCATATTGCCATGTCAGTTTAACAGAGGCACATTTAGAATTCTACTGGATTGTGATTGGTTAATTAAAGTCATTCCTAGGTATATAATCACATTATATACCTCTGAATGAGTGACGGTAAATAGTTCATTTTTACAATCTTAATAGCGCGGTTATGGTAGAATGGAGATAAACATACTGTGTTGGAAAATCAGAGGTACAAAATGTATATAACAAAATTAAAATAGCTTTAAAGTTTATTTTTAAATCAAATTTAGAGCTATTATAATTTCATTATATACCTCTGATTTTCCAACACAGAATGTTTATCTCCTAATTAAGTCACTTGTGCATGTAATTGGCCCCATTGTGGCCCCATGTTGCCCCACACAGTAACCCATCCAAGGACTATTATTCACTTGGAATATCCTTATAAAAAATAACCAGATTCTCTTGTGACATCTCAAAGAAAGTCAATTTAACCACCAAGCCATCTCGTTTAAAAAATAGAACATTCATAAAATTAATGGAAGATATTACCTACAACAAAAGTCATTGATATCCACAGCTCTTTTAGTTATGTGCACAAAATCACACACAAATGAAATATGTGCATAAAATCACAAATACTGAAAACAATAGTTAAGCCTTGTGTTAAAATTCAAAGATTAAAACATTATATCAATGAATAAATGCTGTATTTTAGCTGCCATCTCACTAAAAATATTAAGATTTTCAGAAAAAGTGATCACTAACATCAGCAATGTTATAAAAAATAGTGTTTTGCTTGAATAGGTTATTCCCATGGCATAGATCATGTATTGTCATGTTTTTAATGTCCTGGAGCAGTATTCTGATTTTTTATCACAAATTCTGCAAAGGTAATTAGGTGTGTAAGACTAGAGAGATGTCAAGAGACTGGAGAATCTTCCGGAAAAGAAATATGCCAGGTGGATAAAAAGGAATAATGTTTTATAACAGCTAGCTTATACATTAAAGTTCTAGCCTAAAAGTGAAGTTAACATATTGTAGGTCTAAACATGATGCTATGTTCCGCTTAGCTTATTCTGGTTGTAAAATTCATAGGGATAATTAATAATTCAATTCGAACTTCAAAATTACATTTATCAAGAGTGTAGATTGTATGTGATGTAAAGCCAAATTCTGAGAACAATTAGAGAGGTAATGTTATTTTGATGTGTGTTTGTGACAGATGTGTGTAGAACAAATGTTTTTATATGTTGCATGTCATACACTGTCATATTCCAATGTTTGATAAATGTAACATTTGTTTACACGGTTCTCTTCTTCTCCTTCTATTACTACATCCGCTGAATATATGGATTCACACCCCACAGCAAGTCATGTTTTTGGACATTACTCTATGTTCCAGCTGTTACACATAGGCAATGATAATTAATGTTCAATTACCTTAAATTATGAAAATTTTCCTTACCTTCAAACATGTGGACACTAGCTTCAGGTGAATCCCGCATGGCATCCATGAATATTGCAGGAAGGAACTTGTTCAGAATAATACGGACCTTCGGCCCAATCAGTTTGTCTGCTAACATCTTTGCAAACAGCTCTGCAGTTTTTTCACGAATCTGTGGATGTGTGGCATTACAGAAGAGATCAAGAAGATAGATAAGGGCTCCCTTGGTCATGGATTCCTTCACTACCTTTGTGCTTGACATTAGGGCAAACAGGCTCTCCAGGGTCAATAAACGACCTAACAAGAAGAAAGTACTTGATTTACCAACAAGTTGCACATATATTTTAGAAGTAATGATTCCATCAGAACAAATTCCTCTGTTTTAGGCAACCATATCCACTATTTGGATGCTGGATTGGTACCTATGGAATTATGATGATCTTTTCAAGATGGGGAGTTATCCAGACACCGCTTTCTCAACTGATATATTCTTGGTATGGGATTCTTCCTGTTTAAATCTCAAACTTTTCATCCTGAGAATATTTTCTTCCAAGAATAAATCTACTGATAAAGCTGTGTCAAATGTCTGGATAGCTTCCTATTCTTCTACAAAATTCTACTAACTCTGATAGTAAGTCAGAATGTTCTTAGCAACCAGCTTTGAAGGATAAATACTTGCTTGATAAAGGTATTAAAATCTGAACCACTGTGTCTTGTAATATAAGAACCCAATAAAAGTTTAAAACATTAAAGTCACACATGTTTTACAGTTCAATGCCTATTCAAGACTAATAATTATAAGAGTTTAATTGCTAAGACTAAGACTTGCTAAGAAATGCAGCACGTAACTACACTTGGCAACCTGTCGCCTTCTGTTATACTCACACTGCGGTATGCTCTGTAGAGTAAGGAGGAGGTAGGACAGCACCTCTGCTGCTGCAATGTCATTTACACACTCTTGGCAACCAGTCACACAATTGATCACCTAAAAAACAAGTCACAACATCTTATGTTTGTCCATGAACAAAAGAAATCTTGTCACTACAGCTTTGACATGAAACTGGTGCAACCACACTGCTCACATAGAACATTAAATCATGAAGCAATGATTTTATTAGCCTGTTATGGTAACACAAATTAATAGTGAATGAATTCACAAATTTGGGGAAAAAACAAAAATATACCTTTGAAATTTTCAATATCATCTATGTCACTAACACTGCTCTTATAATGAGAATAAATAACAGTAACAACAACATAGATTCAGTCATTGTTTTATACAGGCAAAACATTGATCAGTATTTGAATCGCCTCGCCATTTAAGGATTTGTAAACCTGGCACTGTGTGTAGCATGTTATCCTGGCATGGTGTGTAACATATGTTATCCTGGCATTGTGTGTAACATATGTTATCCTGGCATTGTGTGTAACATGTTATCCTGGCACTGTGTGTAACATATATTATCCTGGCATTGTGTGTAACATATGTTATCCTGGCATTGTGTATTCGTGAGCTTCGCCTCATGGGAGCATGCCAATTTCCAACTTGTTAGGGGATACATAAAGTATGTAGTCTATACCACCAGTTGTCCGACTCCACTTTTTTAGGATACCATAGAGACTGAGGGTTAGATCACTAACTCTGTGCTGCCGATAATGTGTAGGTTGAATGCCAGATGGGACTCAACACAGAAAAGTTGTAGAGTCTGTACTTTTACTTGGAAAGTGTAATTCCAAATATACCATGTGTTATGTTGTAAACCTGGTGTCCATGTACCACATGTACAGTCGCTGAAGTCATTGTGCTGAAGCCCAATATGGGAGTTTCTTACAAAGTAAGGCCAGCCAGTAAGTTGTAAGTGAAGAAGGTCCAAGATTGTGAGTATTCCTCACAGGGTCTATGAATAATGAGTAGTATATACAATGGGGTTCTGGATCACTTTCAACAAAGCCTCTGCAAAGCCTTATTTGGTAAATAAGGCTTTTGTCGGCCCTTAGCTCTTGCTACCATTTCCCTACTATGAAAAAGTTTGGGCCGATAGCGGTTCCTGGATCACTTTCAACCAAAGCCTCTGCAAAGCCTTATTTCACAAGTAAGGCTTTGGTCGGACCCTTAGCTCTTTGCTGCCATTACCCCCTACTACAAAAGTTGGGGACCTCCTAGCCGCGCTACCGGGGCATGGCTGGAGTGTGTTGGTATCCTGGGATTGCATGGGCTGTGTCTAACGCGTCAGCTTATGCCATGCTGTTTACCTCGATGAAACAGTTTAATGTGAATCTATGATCCCTTTGGTGTTTGTAATAAAGGCTTTGCCGGGCTTTTTTCACCCCTTTGTTCTATGTACTTTTTTCTCTCGCCCTCGCTGATAGTAGACTTACGGTGACTTGGATCAATCTCTTGTTTCATTTTGTTATATTTTGTGAGTTCAGAGAGGATTGAACTAAACTCCTCCTCTGAGATCTTACTCGTCAGTGAGTGCCGTGAGAAATACGCCACTTACTGTGTTCAGCTTTGCTTCAGCCAGAATCCTGATCTGGTCGGTTTCAATGCCTTACGATGCAGTCTCGCGGATGCTAACTTAAGCCAACCCTAACACCCCTGCCACCCCAGCTGTTATTTCAATGCTCTAGCACTATAGGTGCAGCCACGATGGTAGCTAACAACCCAACACCTGCCGCACCTAGTCCCATGCTGGTTGTCATAATAAGTAGTGTCAGCCCCGGCCCACTCTATATTGCAAGCTCTATGGTACTTTTTACATAGTGCTTTTTACGGTGTCGCGGTCTTGTTCTAGCTGGCGCTTCACATCACATAACTGTTCTGCGGAACCCGCCACGGTTTCCAGGGTTTTCGCTACGCCCTTCACGACTGGGTACAGACCCATCCTGTGTGCCTATAATATATCTGGGAAAATATTTTTAATTGGGTATCTATTTTCCAACTAGTTCAGGGATATATTTCAACTCCGTGATGTATTTTAATTGGGGTTTATTTAACCTTTGATTAATGTATTTAAAGTCGATAATACTTAGATTAGCTGCGACGTAAAAAGCGGGTCTTATCTCTACGCTCTTCAAAGAGATAAACCCCTCAATACTTGGTATAGGGTATTTTCCCCGATAATCTTTAACAATACGACAACGCTTGGTTACTAGCCCTATCGCTCCACCATCGTTATATCATCTATAATGTTAAGATGCTCAGGATAACAGGCATCTCCTAGATAGACGCCTAGAATGAATGTGTAGTCCTCGAGATATTTCTAAAGACCTCTTGGTGATCAAGTAATTTGAGCCCTATCTTCTCTTCCTGGAAGTTAACATGTTACCCGAAAGTGGTCTGGTATTGGTGTGATATATATATTAGGTGTTGGAAATACAAACTCTCAACTCTGGTCTGGGGGTTCCGAACTAACGATCCTATAATTATGCCATTGTTCTTAAGCTCGAGACAGTACCATCTTGTCTCAAGGTGATATAAGGTGCAGTGATGGTTAAGTTGAGTAACCATTCAGGCTCTTTAAAATCTGATAACGACACCACCTGTACACGCTTGTCTTTGAAGTGCAGGATGTATAAGGTGTCTTGCTCACCAAGCTGATCAAACCCCCTCCGTGGTCCCCTAGGTCGCTAAGCGCGGTGTTGGGGCCATGACTGGTCATTGCTATAATACTATTACGTAGATAATTCCAACTGGTTTTCTGATAATAGTTCAGGGGTGCAACTTCATCCCCATAAAGTGTATGTTGTCGGTAGGAATATATTGGCTAGTGATATCCTGTTTTCCACAACCACTGTGACTCCCTGCAGACTGGTTTTGGAGTCGGCACCCACACCAAGACGTGAACTGTGCAACGCGGATACTGGTGTCGCTTCACCCACCCGAGTTTGATCCCCCACATCCATCTCGACATTATTCCCCGATGGTTCCCTAGGTAGACTTTGATGATCAGTGTTGAGTCTCGGCCAGGTAGACTCTCCAGTATCCTGGCTTTCGCCTTCAATTCAGACACCAACCGCGAATGTCACGCCTTTGCTCTCCGGGTTTACTCGATAGCATATGGGCTCAGCCATACTTGGCGACCGGGCTGATGATTACGCCACGCCCCTGAGCCGGACGAAGCCACGAGCAGGGTTCCGCTTGTTAACGACTTTTGTTTAGGTGGTTGTCTTTGTTATCCGTGAACACGGGGAGCCGAGCCTAATATTGAGAAACCAGTCGCCTTTATCTGGTAACAACACCCACTTGTCTTCATCGGTGAAGACGAAGCAGTGATATGGTTTGTTTCGGCTGACGGTAGTGCTCTCAACATCGCCTAAGTCAACAGTTTACTCCCCTCGAACGATGGGTATATTACCCATTTATCATCACCGTGGTGACTAGGGTGTACTTAGTGTTGACTACCGCCTTTGAGGTATCTACTATATCACCTAGGGCTCCACCGGAGGGGACTTCAACGCTTGTAAATGTTGTTTTTCAGTTGCAAGCATGCATAATTTACCATCTACTCCCGAGCCGCCGAAAACCGCTGCGGTGTCCCCGAGGTCGAGATCCCCACATTGACGATTTTTCACCCCGGCCCTTGTGCGCTTGGTCATTTTATGTGAAGCTGCTAAGCTGAGGTATCCTATATTCACGGATTATGATTTATATCTAACACCGAGCATTATCAGCTCAGGTATGTTGCCCTGAGTCAACCTCTTATACTGTCGCATGTGAAAACGACTCGTTCCCACCGCCGCTGTATTTCTCCGCTTTCACCGCACGCTATCAGTATAGTGGAAAGGTGACCCCTTTGAATGTTGTAATGCTGTGCTCACCTGACCTAGATGAATGTACAGCCTCGCACGGTAATTAGGTCGGGTAACTTCGCGCCTGTGACGTTGTTGTTGGTTTTATCTCGCCAGGTGATATACCGTGCGTCTTCGCCAATGGGTCGCCGAGCCTCTCAAGGAGTTTCTTCCGCTGTTGATTAACACCACTGTGCCGCTTTGAGTCGCTCATATCTTGAGTTCGGCTCCCAGGGGTTTGAAGACCTCATCGCTTAGCGAGCACACGCTGTAGTAGCCGCCAGTTATCTGGCTGCGAAGTTCCACTAATCTAACAGCTTATTGTTGCTGGCGCTGATGTTAGTCCATTGCGTAGGTAGGTGATATCGCGAGAGCGACTTCGAAGTTGACCGACGATATCGATCGCAAGTAAGGCCAGCTGAATGGCCTCACCGCTCGCTATTCCTGGAAGTGTTATGTACATGTTAGAGTATATATGCTCATTATATAATAGTTTTAAAATGTATTCCCAAGGAGGAGCATCCTCGCATACTCCCCTGGAGTGTTTTACCCTAAACTGACATAGATTTCTCACCCATGAAGATCGCGGGTTGCTGATGGATGTATTTCAACGCCCAGCTTTAGGATGTGTTCAGCCTGTATAAATTTTTCGTGACTAACGCTAAGGTAGTTCATGCTTGGTTCAACAACCCGATGCAGTTCTGGCAGAATCAACTCAACTTCGTAGTGGTGCGCTTACAACGGGTGTGGTGTGACATTGACCGACACTCGAAGCTGGGACCGCTGAGTCAGTCTGTGTTCAAGTTCCACGGTACTACCAGGTCAGGCGATCCTTAAAGAAATCAGCGCCCCGGCCCCACAGGACAATGGCATGGAACCCATTAAACAACAAGTACGATAGGCTGTTTCCAAGCCTACGAACGTGATTTTGCAACGACTAACTTAACCCAAGACGGATTGGCGCTGCTTCGGCGCCGAATCCACGGGTTGGGTATCCCCATCGCTCACCAAATGCCCTTGTGGAAGTTTCAGCAAACTGCTGGTGAAAGATTGGGGATACAAGTCAGATCATCTCTTCACAACCAACGAAAGTGGGATGACCGCTACATGGCTTTCAATGCCAACAAGGAGTACAGAGTCTGAGGTTTGATCAGGAGGGGCAGCGGATGACTGGGAAAGTTTATGTTGACACGCCGAAAAGGGTT